GTCGTTATAAATGTTTTCATACATATAGTTGTATACTGCCTTATTCCCCATATCATTTGTTTTTATTTACAAACCTTCTCAGATAATAGCACGTGTTGCTTCCATCAAATCTTACGTTTGATGATCTAAATTCTCATTGGCTATCAATACGGAAGTTAACTTTTGGGTGTTACTAATTTCAGTCAAAGTTCATACCCTTGAGGTGTATTCACTAGATTTTAAGTTAAAGTTTCTATTGTTTCCTAAGAGTATATAAACCTGTGTAACTGTTAGACACGTGGGGAAGCTTGGAAAGCATTAATTTGCTGTAAGTTCTCTCACTTTAATAAAGGTTTATTAGGTATTTAACAGGTTGCACCCCTAGAAATTATGTTAAGATATTAGGCATTTTGACTATAAATTGTCGTCATCTATTGCTCTGTTAAATTTATTAGGCCATAAATCTAAAAGTTAGGAGTTAGGATACATGTGTATTTCTATATAAATAAGGGTTTTTCGCTCACCTGAGCCTAAGGCTCAAGTGAGCTTTTCTGATCGAAATTTGTATGTTGTCTGTCGTTGTTGTAAACTTTTCACATTTTCATCTTCTTCTCCAGAACTACTGGGCCAATTTCAATCAAACTTGGCACAAAGTATCCTTGGGTAAAGGGGATTCAGGTTTGTTCAAATGAAGGGCCAAGCCCTCCTCCAAGGGGAGATAATTACGAAATAGCAAAAAATTAATGACATTATTGAAAAATCTTCTTCTCAAGAACCAATGGGCCAGGAAAGATGAAACTCATGTGGAATTATTGTCAGGTAGTGTAGATTCAAGTTTCTTCAAATCATGACCCCCCAGGGGTAGGGTGGGGCCACAGTGGACGATCAAAGTTTAACATAGGTGTATATAGGAAAAATCTTCAAGAATCTTCTTCTCAAGAACAGCAAAGCAATGATTGGTAATATTTATATGGAAGCATCTGCAGGTGGTATAGATTCAAATTTGTTCAAATCATGACCCCCGGGGGTAGGGTGGGGCCACAATGGACGATCAAAGTTTTCATAGAGTATGTATGAAAAATCTTCAAAAATCTTCTTCTCAAGAACAGCAATTAAAGCTATGATTGGTCATATTTATGTGGAAGCATCCCCAGGTGGTGTAGATTCAAGTTTTTTTTCAAATCATGACCCCCGGGGGTAGGGTGGGGCCACAATGGATGATCAAAGTTTTACATAGGAATATACAGGAAAAATCTTGAAAAATCTTCTCAAGAACAGCAAAGCCACAGTTTGTCATATTTACCTGGATCCGGTTGCACGAACGTTAGTTAAATTTAACTGGCCGTTAACTTTACGTTAACGCGACGTTAAATTTAACGGCGAGTTAAATGGGTTGCACGAAAGTTAACTGACAGTTAAAGCTTAATTAATTTTCTGATTTAACTAACAGATTTAACTGAGGTAACCTAGGTACATTAAATATTTAATTAAACATTAAAAATCAAGATGGCGGATTTGTTATTATTTGGGAACTTGTTTGCTGAGAAGAAAGAGAGAAAATACAGAGAGAGAATAGAAATGTCCGACTTGAGTGACACTCAGATCCGATCCCGGTTTCGATTTAGACGAGATTCGCTTACTTATATTTCGAACATGCTGCGAAATGATCTGCAAAAGGCAACAAAGCGAAGTCAGTCCATATCTGTGGAAATGCAGGTTCTTTTTTTCTCTGGGTACACATACATGAATTGTCATTACCACGATTATATTTAAACTGAACATTTAAACGATCATCATGTTACTACAGTATAGCCTCAGACCAGTTACTTGAAAGAGTTTGTTCAACGCCATAATAAATTTTAGACATAACATAAACATGTTATGAAACTTTTTTTTTTTTGCTTGCCAAACTTTTTTTCAGAAAGACGATCATAGTTCTCCATAACTGAATATGACTTATAAAACTACATATTTAATAAAAAAATATTGCAAAGTTTTATATAACACGTTTTATTACACGTAGTGTCAATGTAAAACCTCATATTTAAAGTATGTAAAAGCAAAATATTAAAAGATAAATTTTCATTGTTATTACTGCAAGTACCGAAAATCTTTTATTAATTACACACAATATTAGTGTAAAAATCAAATGAATGAACTATTTTTAACAATGTAAAGATGAAAATTTAAAGTAAAAAATCTAACCAAATTAACGCTCATAAAAAAGACGTCATTTTGATTATGACGTCATTAATTTATGCAAGAATTCTGACAGCGGCGTAACCATGTGCCCTCTTTATATCCTTTTGAAACACATTTAAAATTAAAATTTTCAACTTTTGACATGTACTCAGCGGCATTTTTTACTTATGAGCAATCTTTCTCCTGCAATTTTCTATCTGTACTCTGCACTTATAAACAATGAACAGAGAGAGATCTTTCTCGTGACTCTGCACTATTTGATCACCGAGGAATCTTTTTTGTGCCAGCACCTACTTTAACAGAAGACCGCGGTTTATACAGTCCCAGGACCGATCTCCATGTCCAACATCACCGCACCATATGTATGGATTAAATGTGAATCCAATTTATTTTTTTCAAATTGGTTGTATAATAAGAAACTGATTTATTACGTCCTTTTTAGGCCTACTAGTCATCGATTGAAATAATACAAGTAAGTTCTTCGGAACTAAGGAACAGGATGAAATGGGAGGGGGGGGGGGTGGCAGGTTGAATCTTCTTACAGAAAGAGAAATCTAAGTTTTTTCCTATATATAATTAGTTTGAAAATAATTTTTTATGACAAAATGTATACCATCCTTGCTGTCACTCAAGTTACAAATTCTAAATGACTACGGGTTAAAAAAGATATAAAGGATATATTATGATATGAAATTAATTTGTTTAATTTATTTAATCCATCCACCCCAGTCTCTTTTAAATTTTACATCTCATGAACATAGAAAATAATCTCAGTAATTATCAGCAATTCTCAGTACCAACAGTAACTCTCAGCAAATATCAGTAATTATCAGAACCCACAGTAAAAATGACAGTAAATATCAGTAAATATCAGAACCGACAGTAATTATCAGTAACAACAGTAAAACTATCAGCAAATATCAGAAATTCTCAGTACCAACAGTACCAACAGTATAATATCAGTAAATATCAGTAAAAAGTGGCACTATCAGTAATTTTTTAGGCCAGTAGTGTTGGTTTCCGGACCCCCCCCCCCCCTTGGAATTTGCAGAGTTATTAAATGTATACATATACCGTATTTTGTTATGCTTTAGATAAATAATCACGCGAAATTTAAACGGGGTTAGGCGGTTGACGAGAAAAGAGTTGCAAGGCTTCTCTCTTTTTATGTATCTATCACAGTGTAAATTTTGATTAAAAACAATTTTAGTGACATGTTTTACCTGACTTTGAAATATACTTTTAATTATCTGTAATTACTTTAAATATCACGAAAAACTTTAATTATGCTAATTACTATGTTACTCAAAACGCGCCAATTTAATCAATTTACTCAACATGTCATGAGTTATTCTATCTAAACCATCTGTCACTCATGTTCAGAATTGTGCTAATTGTCATTGTTATACTTTATTATTTATATGTTACATGCATCATTGTTAATCAGTGAAGTCCTAGGCTTCGGATTATTCGGGTGCAATTTTTGGATTTCCAGAATTCACCCTACCGACCTAAGTTATAATAAAGTGCTATTCCATCGTAAGCATTTTTATGTTTCATTGTTGCCGGAAAGTTTTGACACTTATTTTCCCCGGTGATATATCAGTCGAAAACGATATATTTAAAAACAATGGGTTAGATTATTGATATCATGTAGTGCATATCAGACTATACCAAAATAGGAAAAAGGTGTGTCGACCCCAGATTTAAAAAGAAAGAAAATGAAGGGGGGGGGCGGTCCAGCCTCCAAATGTCTGTGATTTTAATGTCCATATATGTCAAGGAAACTTACGATCGGTATATATGAATTAAATTTTTGCACAGTCGGATGCTGAAAGTCCAGGTATAATTTTCAAAGAATTCTCTCCACATACAATGCAGGCACAATTCACATTTACACCCAATATTTTTAGTTACAAATGACGGGATATACAATTTTCGATCTCACAAATCTTGAATTTACATGTACACGTCTAAGATTTTTTAACACGATTATCCCCTCTATACAATTTGATGCCGAATTTTTAAACCATCTATTCCAAAACACACAGTGTAAATGATTTTCCCTAATAGTTCGAAACTCTGAGTCGTATCTGTGTATAAATTAATTAATATCTTTCGGCAAACAATAGAGTGTACAAAGATACTGAGAGTACATGGAATGAATTTGAACACTATATCCACTATATGTGTACGAGTACATGCGTGGATCATTATAAGATTTTTTTCCGGGGGGGCTGGCACACCCACTCAAAAAAAAGATCCAACTTAGAATTCTCCCTCTCTCTCTGAGTAACGCATATCTAGCACCCTATTTAGTGCCCCACTTATGACGTCATGTTTGCAAACGCACTGCATATTCTGAATGAGTTTCCACATCGTCGAAAACCCACGGTCCAAACAAGGTTTAGCGCAAGGATCACACTGTTTTGCGATCTACAGATTCAACTACATTACTGATACATTTTATCCATGGATTTTATGCACGTACCATGATTAAGCACTTATAGGATAGCATGGTTGAAGCATGTGATCATCCATATGCAGCTGCACCAAGTAAGAATATTTATGATTTGCTAATGAAATTCCGAATAAAAGGTTAACTAGGATCAAGAAATCGCATCATTATTTTTTGAACAAGTCAGTCTGTTTTAAACACCAATTAGGCCTATCAAGTTAAAGTAAGTTCTATAACTGGGTGTAGGCTAAGCTAATCTGAAATATGACGTCATCATTTTGTCAGTCGATAATGTAAACAAGCATACAAACATTTGATGCCTGACTGTGTACTACAGGTATTGCTATTTATAACTAAAATGTTATATTTTCGAGTTAATAATGCCGTTGGACTTTTTACATGTTTTCTGTCCATTCTTTGTAATATTCATTGTTATACCTGTTGTGCCTGGCATTGATGACTCGAAGCCCCCAGCGATTCCAGAGAAATTTGGCTTGTCTTTCATTAAATCAATTATCTTCTCCTCGGCGGCAGTAGGGGGTTTGGGTGGAGGTCCACTGCCTGTTTTCCTGGCATGTTTACGGGTCTCTGTAAATGTCTTCTTAGCCCCCTGTTGCAGATTCCCCCATTTAAACTTCACTTGCTCTACCGACCTGCGTTGTACCCCAACTGCGTTGACTAAATCTGTCGCTTCTGCCCATTTGCTGTTCTTTTTGGCATTTGTTATCAAATTGCTCTGTTTGGCTTTTAAAACTTCTTCGTTCTTTTCCACGAAATCTGTTAAGACAGTTATTTCGGCCAAGGACCAGTTGGTACTCCTCTCTCGCTTTACACTTGCACTTGCAGCCATTTTTACTTCGCCGTAGGTACGGGAAACGCGCGCGTGCAGAACGAATTAACAGAGAGTTAACTATAAGACATCAATTAAATGTGAGTTAGCTAATTGATTTTTAATAGACTTTCGAACAACAACTTTTTAACTGACAGTTACGTAACTCGTCGTTAAAAATTTAACTGCTAGTTAAGACACTAACTGAGATTTAATTTAACTAACGTTCGTGCAACCGAATCCAGGTAATATGGAAGCATCCTCAGGTAGTGTAGATTCAAGTTTGTTCAAAACATGACCTCCAGGGGTAGGGTGGGGCCACAATGAAAGTTCAAACTTGTAGAGAAAAAAGTCACAGTTAATCAAAAAATTATGTAAACATCCTTAGTTAGTGTATATTTAATTTTGTTCAAATCATACCCCCCACTCCCTTTAGGGGTAGGTTGGGACCACTTATGCATTTAAGCTTTTCAATACTAAATTGATTTTTCCTTTTATCCTAGCCACAGTGCTCAGGTGAGCAATGTGGCCTCTGGGCCTCTTGTCTCAAATCCTTTGGAAGATAAATCAAATGTTTTTCAAAACAATGTTCTAATTTAGATAACCTATAACTTGTTATTGTTTAACCTGAAAAAAGTTAGCTCCCTTTCATATCAAGTACATTACCTCCCTTTGTTCTTGCTGGTGTGACACATTGTAAGTCATCTCTCGTTGTAAGTCATCTCACGTTGTAAGTCATCTCACGTTGTAAGTCATCTCTCGTTATAAGTCATCTCGTTGTAAGTCATCTCTCGTTGTGCTGGTAATTGGCTCTTGTCTTCATCATGATTGTATGATATTTGAATTATAAAGTATGTAGTCTTAATTGTACCCACATTCTTGTTTAAATATGGCCATTTGGGTAACATTTTCTTCTTCAACGGTTCAATTTAACACAATATTTTCTAGCTGTTTGTAAACACCAGTGTAGTAGGTAACTACATTTAATTTTTTTCTTTCATTAACAGCATTATTTTCAGCATTATAAAATATAACTATATATAGTATGAAATATTTACATTGAATATTTTTGCCTTTCTCTCTGATGAAAACCAATGGCTGTTTATCAATTGATTAACTCTAAACTCAAGTTAGATCTGTTTTTTTTAAGCCCTGTCTTAAGAATTGGGTCTTTCATCAATGTGATGTATGGATCAATAAAACAGTATTTAACATAATATTAATTTCCCCTACTTTATAGAATGATTTATACAGATATACATGTAAACAATAACATTTATTTCTTTCTTTGTTAATATGGGGATTATCACTTGCAACCATTGCAGAAAAAACTAAATAACCGGCTATGAAATTTTTCTGCAGTGTCACAACTGTTAATCCTAGTATTCACCAAAAAAAGTGATTTTATTATTTATAATTATTACATTTATCATGTGTATATATGAAATTGTAAATATTGGTCATTCTTATAGCTTCAGAGTGATATGTTATTGTTTTTACATTTTTTTTTCTTGTTCTAGGGTTATGAAGGTTTAGAGGGACCTGTGGGTCCACAGGGTTACCCTGGATGTAATGGGACAAAGGTATGAAATAATTTAATCATGTATCAAATGTAATGTTATCATTTAATATGTAATAAATGATTGTCATGCATTGGAAATTATTATGAAAAATACTTTGAGTACTTATATAATGAAAGACAAAGTGAACAATAATTAAAGGAGAGAAATAGAGGGGTGGTATAATTAAGAAATAAACAACAATGTTAAAAAGTTCTCTGGGAAATGAACTTGGTTGGTCACGTGATCAAATCCTGTGAAGCCCGAAGGGCTTCTCAGAAGATTTGATCACGTACCAACCAAGTTCATTTCCCAGTGAACTTTTTGACATTGTTGTTTATTACTTTTATTTACATTTGAGACGAATATTCTGAATAGGACTGCATTTATTACACGAACGGCCCGCCGTATTGCTATGTTGTGACGCGCAATGACCTAGAAGTTGTTTGGTCTTGAGAGTTCGCCTCGCTCCAACATTTGAATACTTACATTGATGTTTAGCAGTCCAGTTCAGGAAATATCTGTTCATAATGAAAAAACAATGATCGCTACTGGGAATTATCTTACTATTATTGTACGAGTTCTTTATATATAAAGTCAAAAGCGGTGCTATCGTCTTCAGTTTACATACCTTCAAAGGAATTTCGGGTTAAAGAGGTAAGCGTGATTTTAGGCTAATTAGAAACATTCTTCACACCGAAGAAAGATCTAACGATCATTTGTTGAACGAAAAAAAAAAATATATGTGTCAATAATTTTATCTTTTTCATCGCTTTGACGGTTCAGAAGTTCCGAAACCAGTGTCACTGTGACAGAAATATGTAGACAAGATATCGTCTCGCTGTGTGATTCGGTCACGCCATGACCTCTGACCCCCTAATAAGTTCATACAGAATTGAACATATTTTCTCTTCTATAGGTTCATCTAAGAAAAATATTTGCAAATGTAAATAAAAACATTTATTCTATCATAGATTTCAAAATGCAATTTTTTAAAAATAAAATTGGCATATGTTAGCCAATTTTTTCCATGCTAAGACATTGTAAATTTACAGCAAAATATTACATATCAAAAATTGATGTAGTAAACATGATATTGGGAGTATTGTGAAATTCCATAGGTTAATTAGAATTTTATTGTAAACATGAATGACACAAAGCAGTCTGTTATTACAGAATGTTAAAATAAAAATGATTTGTGTTTGTTTATTTTAGAGACAAAAGGGTAACCCTGGAGTTGATGGACTGCCAGGAAATCGGGGGCCTCAGGGTGTACCAGGTTTATCCGGACCCAAGGTAGGTTGTCATGGAAACAACACACTAAAAAGATATAAAAAATCTTTCATGTTTTTAAGTATTGACATCTTGTGCTGTCATTTTGTTTACTCTTTTTTTGGCAAGTATATTTGCACCCACAAGCAACCCCTATTGGGCATTAATTTCAAGGCAGTATAACTGATGTCAAAAGTATCACAAGCTAAGTCAGGGAATTTTGTCCCCCGCTTCATGTTATATGAAGAGCAAGGAAGACCTGAAAAAAAAAATGCAGATTGTGAAAGAAAAAAAGATTGACATTGAGCTTTAGCTTTTGGCCTTAAAGTCACGAGGGGTCTTTCTTGATTTAAAGAAATTCAGGACCTTAATTTTCATTGCAAAAGCTTACTGAAAACTTAAGTTATTATCTGAAAAATATGTATGCAATATATAAATTTCTGACTTTGGCCTTTGACCTTTTCTCAAAATCAAAAGAGTCTTCTTTAAGTCATATTCACTAAAAGTATAAAATTTTTAAATTATTGGAAAACAAAGAGAACTCTCTATAACACCAGGAAGCCATTATTTTTTTTTCACAACATATGAATTTTTGACCTTGACCATTTTACCTAAATTTCAAGAGAGATCTTTTTTAAGTCATTGGGAGTAATGATATTATAATAATAATATTTAATTGTAAAAGCTCAAATAAAACTAAATTTATCATCTGGAATTCAATTTTTGCAATAATTGAATTTCTTGCTTTGACCTTTTGTCCTCAAAACTTTTGCAGGTTGTCTTAATGTCACAAAGAGCAATCATCTTATGAAAAGTTTTAATTGAAAAGGCTTTATGAGAACTAAAGTGATCATATGAAAATCATTTTTTTTTTTCATTTTTTTTTCTTACCTTGATTTTGACCTTAAAATCAACAGGGGTTGTCTTTAGGTGACTTGGATGTATGATATAAATCTTCATAGAAAAAGTTGAGAAGTAAGTTTACCATCTGGAAACCATTTCTTGCAGTGTATGAATTACTGATCTTGACCTTTTGACCTCAAAATTGATAGAGGTCTCCCTTAGGCCATAGGCAGTTGGGCAGGGCTTTCAAAAATATTAGAAATAGGCGGTACTTTTTCAAAAATAGGAGGTAGCTTGTGGAAGGGATTTTAATTAAATATGTTATTAAATTTTTCTCCAATGAATATTTTGGCCGGTATATTCATAATATCAGCCGGGTAAAAGTACCGGGTACCAGCACATTTTGGAAAGCCTGAGTTGGGGCATAAATTTCATTGCAAAAGCTCGAAAGCTCTTTGAGATATTGTCCAGACATAAAGTGTTATACACAGATAGAATGACAGACAGATGGATGGACTGATGGACAGACAGAGAAATTACTCAAGTCTTCCAATCCAATTATGATAATCTGTAAAGCATACATAAAGCACATAATGCACAAGTCTCTAAAGTGGCTGATCAAGTCTCAGATTGGATTTACTGATTTTATAATGTACAATTTTGTATTTTGCTCATAAGACAATTCAAAAGATCGGCTTTAATATGTATCTTCTGGCAATAAAATGTATTTTTTAATCCACAGGGAAATCCTGGAGATGGATTTTATGGATTTGGTCCAAAAGGTGATCCGGGTAATCTAGGATGAAGGGTTCCTAGTGTAAGTATCATCACCATAACAACTGGATTTCAGACGTGTTATCTCACACTATATATAATGAAATGTAAATCTTAATGTAACTTTAACAAGTTAAGTTCTAGGCTTAGATTTCAGTTAACTTTAAGAGCTTTATTCCATAATAAATATTTCTGTAATTGTTCCAGTTTATGTCTGACAAGGATTAAATCTTGGACATATCTATTTTTTAGGGTGTTCCTGGCATTCCAGGTCAACCTGGACTCCCTGGGCCTTTTGGCCCTCCAGGTCCTAGGGTAAGAAATGTTCAGTCAGTTTCTATTATGACACATGTACAATTATCAGAAGACAACAGGATCTCACAAGGAAAAAATCGATTTTTTTGTTTCCATAGTTTGCTATACCTGTACAAGATTATACATGTGTTATAGTCGAAATGATTTTAAGACAAAGGATGATGTGACATACGGCCCCCAGTAAATTGGCAAAAAAATTAAATGTCCAAATTTTACTCTAATTTTTGCATGCAACTAATCACTGATATGTGTACCCTTATGGAAAACTACTTTTAACAAAAATAGAAATGTAATTTGGAAGATATAGATCTTTTATTTGGGTAGGGGTACTATATTTACATCTGATTCCCATTGAATTTTGGCCCCGCCCCCCTCTTTGAAGCCCTTAAAATATATGAGCGCAAGTAGGTACATTTTTCTCCTTTGGCTGGTCACTGTATTTTATTGAAATCTACCTATACGTGAAAGGAGAAAAATGTACCTAACTGCGCTCACATGTTGTTTTTTAAAAAAAATGGTAAAATCTAGATGGCCTTTCCTATTATGAACAGATCGACGAAACTATTTTTCTGATGTAAGAATAAATTCATATGATAATCGAGGCACTGGCCATACTTTCTAACTGACCAATCAGCTAAATAAGATGCATTACCAGTGAGTGCCACAAAAATACTAAGGAAATTTTATGCTTGGAAAAAAGGCTTTTTTTACCTACTTTTGGATAAACAATTTTTTATGCATTTGAGTCACAGATTAGGCACAGATCTACAATTTCCCAGCTCACAGTTACAAACAATTGATTTATAAATATACATTATTTAAAGTTTCGTAAAGCGTTTGGTGGGCAATTCGCTAGGTCTACACACATTCCGAGTATCAGTGAATTCAAGTTTCATGTGCATTTCTTGACCCAGACTGGTAAACGCTGAGGTTCCATGCGTATTATTATGTATAAACAGCCTTGGCTGACCATTAAAAGTTTGAAATGTAGTAGAGATAATGTGTAAATTGACCTAAACCACGTGTCTGTGATAAAATGTAAACGTAGTAAACGACAGCATGTTTTGTCGTTCTGTCATCGGATTGGACAATTGTTCTCGGTAAGCGACTATGTGCGAAATAATAACAATAGCCATATAAGGTAAATTTCTCGGACATGCATATCCCTCTATTGTACTAAGACCCGCCTATTCTCTTTTCATAAAAGAACATATTGTCACAAACCTGGCCAAATGTTGCTGTCATAGGGTCTAAAAAATCAAAGATAATGCAGTAATCCTTATAATTAGATTGTTTTGGAGCTAGTGAAATTATTCAAAAGGCGTTGTATTTATTCACTCATGTTTGAAAACTATCAAAATCGTTGTAGATTAAATATAATTCGTCGTAGAAAAAGGGGCCCCAGATAGCAGTTATGTCACATCATCCTTTAATGAAACTACATACAGTAAAACAGCATACAGTAAAACATGCTTATAACGAAGTGCCAGGGACTTGTGATTTTGCTTTGTGATAAACGTAATTCTTTATATCTGTTAGCTTCACAATAAGTTTAAAACCCTTGGGGAATTAAAATGACTTCACTGTAGGTGTAAGTTCATTATAAGTGTGTTCGCTATAAGCATGTTTTATTGTATTTCTATTTTTATTATTTAAACACAAATGTTTAATAAGTACCATATTGATTTTTGATATAATAAATGAAAACGGTATAAGGGAGATAATTTTTGTCACTATACACCATTTATTGTTATTTGACAGTTCCTGCAGGAAGTGATCAAAATAACTACATAAATTTTATTTGATCTTGTAACAGAAGTCAAGAAATACAAGTACATGAAAGAAGATAAGTACATGTACCTGTCCCAGTGTTGAGGAATTTTTTTTGTCTGTTTTCTTTGGTCATATTTTCAAAATAAAATATATTGACATAAATTTGCTAGATCTTTATGATATCTCTTTATTATTCCAACAATGAAGCCATCAAAGAAGTGGGGTACAGGGAGGGGAAGCAGGAAATATACTAAGTAGTTACTATTGAATATATTTTAGGGCATTCATATGATGTAGTTTTCTTAATTTTCTTGTAGCTCAGTTGAAAATTGTGGTACCTTCATTTATCATAAAATATATCTTTTCTAATTAAATTTTACTTCTTTAAAATTTTTAGGGGGCCGACTGGAATTCCAGGAGGTAAAGGGCCAAAGGGAAGCATGGGAGACCAGGATAGAAATCCCCCCAAAGGTGAAAAGGTCAGTGTTCATTGGTAGTTGAAGTTACAGGTATACTTCTGTAGATAAATCACTTATCATGCATTATAATCATTCACCACAATGTTGTTGAAGAATAGCACGTGTAATGTTAATATTCATGCAAAATATCCTTTATTATTTAACCAATGCTAAAGAGGCATTAGAAAGTTTATTTTGGTCACCAGTGTAAATGTAAAACATTGAATTTATCATTAAGGAAATTTTAAAACTGTGTGAAATTCCAGGCTAATTGACCTGTTGTGTTGACCTATAATTTACATGATTGTCTGTTTTCAGGGAGAGGTAGGATTACCTGGTCTCAAAGGTCCTAAAGGCTCCATCACAACTTTACCAGGAAACAAACCAGACGAGATTCTGAAGGGAGAAAAGGAGTATTGGGGGGACCCAGGTGAGGGAGGAAGACCTGGAAGACCCGGATTTAATGGAATGAGTGGTGATCTTGTTAGTGGGAAATTTCCTATTGTTACTCTCTCTGTCATAACAATACAACTTAACTTAAAAAAGCAAGAGCCACTTAGGGCCTTTTTTGGCCCTGAGAATTTCTAAAAAAATCGAAACTGCTCAGTTTTGGTTGAAAATGCACCCTTGGTGACCATGTATCTATTGAGCATGACGTAATTTTCTCTCTAGTCAATGCATTATGACATAAAATGCGTCATTTTTCCCATATCCTGTAAATTCCCTTAAAAATGGCCAAAAGTTGAGGTCTTTTTTCAATATTTCATATAGAGCACAACCTCTGATCCAAAATATGCAATTACATAATGAAAGATCTGTTTCTGAAGATCACAAAACGTGTTTTAATTTTTGGATCGTGGGCTGTGCTCATATTTTAATTCTTTGCTGAAGGTAGTCAAATACACATGTTTTCTGCAAAATTCAAGAACACTGCATTTTCTCAGATCAAAGCCTGTTTTCCAATATCTGGATTCTCAACATTTAATTAATTGATATAAGGGCATGGCCATTTTATGCATAAAGTGAACCTAGCTCTTTGCTCTTTTATTATTCCTTTATCTGAAGGCCATAGACATGAACAATCTGTAATAAGTTGTTAGTAGTAAAAAAATTTAATTTTCGGCGTTAGCATCGGCGTCCCAGGTTAAAGTTTTAAAGTTTTAGGAGCAAGTCCCATTCCCAAGTAACTATAAGCCCTACCTGGACCAAACTTGCATGGATGATGCATCTAGGGATGGACACTACCAAACTTGCTTTGGATGCTGGATCTTACCTAGATTTTCCAGATGAGTGACCAGGTTAAAGTTTTAGGAGCAGGTCCATTCCTAAGTAACTATAAGCCCTACCTGGATTAAAATTGCATGGATGATGCATCTAGGAATGGACACTACCACACTTGCTTCGGATGCTGGATCTGACCTAGATTTGCCAGATGAGTGACCAAGTTAAAGTTTTAGGAGCAGGTCCATTCCCAAGTAACTATAAGCCCTACCTGGACCAAACTTGCATGGATGATGCATCTAGGGATGGACACTACCACACATGCTTCGGATGCTGGATCTGACCTAGATTTTCCAGATGAGTGACCAGGTTAAAGTTTTAGGAGCAGGTCCATTCCTAAGTAACTATAAGCCCTACCTGGACCAAACTTGCATGGATGATGCATGTAGGGATGGACACGACCAAACTTGCTTCGGATGCTGGATCAGTCCTAGATTTTCCAGATGAGTGACCAAGTTAAAGTTTTAGGAGCAGGTCCATTCCTAAGTAACTATAAGCCCTACCTTGATCAAACTTGCATGGATGATGCATCTAGGGATGGACACTACCACACTTGCTTCGGATGCTGGATCTGACCTACATTTCCACATGTGAGACCAGGTTTAGATTTAGGAGTAGTCCCATTCCCAAGTAACTATAAGCCCTACCTTGACCAAACTTTCATGGATGATGCATCTAGGGATGTACACTAACCAACCTGCTTTGAATGCTGGATCTGACCTAGATTTTCCACATGAGTGAATTTTAGCCATATTTTAACCAAATTAGCATGGATGATGTATCTAGGGATGGACACTTCCAGACTTGCTTTGGATTCTGAATCTGACGTACATTTTCCAGATGAGTGACCAGGGTAATTTTTTTGGAGTAGCTATATAATATTATGGCCTGTTATGAATAAACTTGCATAGATGGTGCATCTAAGGATGAAAACTTCCAGACTTGCTTTGAATGTTGGAACTGACCAAAATTTTCTTGATTACTAAACAGGTCAAAAGTTTTTTGAGCAGGTCTATAATTAAATCAAACTTGCATGGATATTGATCTTGGGATGTACACTAACTACAAAAAGAATATGATGTGAAATTTGCCTTACATGTAGATAACATTCGTCGAGGTGAGCTTCGTAATCTTTGATTACCTATGTTTTTGAAATACATGTAACTGAAAAACATAGAGATAGATTTGATTTATAATGTACCTTTCATTGACTTTTACCTGGATTTTTGTTTTTAGGGATTTTCAGGTTTGCCAGGTGATAAAGGGCCTTTTGGGATGCCTGGAATGCAAGAAATGAGGGAATGCAATGATGGGGGGATCATTTTGACTCTTTATTTGCCACTATTTTTATGGCGATTTTAATTTTATGTCTTAGGTATGGTGATAATATGATATTTTGTTTCTATGACCTTTTTTTAGGGCAAGAGAGGTAAGGACGGCCCACCAGGACCCTATTGTTTGAAAGGAGAACAGGGAGAAAAGGGGAGACAAGGATATGATGGATTACCAGGAGAAACAGTAAGATCCACCCCTCAAATTAACTAAGGCATAAAGGCTTATTTTTGATTTTAGTAAAATTGGCAACAAACAATAACTGATAGACTAGAAAGTTCAGATTTTACACTATTTATGGAGTTCTGAATAAGAAATTTATAATTAGATCTTATGTCACAATCTTCTCATCAGGGTAAATTTTGTATATTTTTGTCACCTTTCCTAAGGCTGTTTCTCTGCTTTTAGGGCAGAACTGGAGACCCTGGTTTTCAGGGGATGAGGGGTGACCTTGGAGATCTGGTAGGTTGCCATGACAATACAATTATTAGGCAATGTTACATAATATCTTTATAATGATATTCTAATTTTTTAGCTCACCTGAGCTGAAAGCTCAAGTGAGCTTTTCTGATTACATTTTGTCCGTAGTCCGTCTGTCCGTCTGTCCGTCCGTCCGTCCGTCCGTCCGTCCGTCTGTAAACTTTTCACATTTTCGACTTCTTCTCCAGAACCACTGGGCCATTTTCAACCAAACTTGCCACAAAGCATCCTTGGAAGAAGGGGGTTCAAGTTTGTTCAAATGAAGGGCCATGCCCTCTTCCAAGGGGAGATAATTAAGAATAAGTGAAAATTTGGTGTCTTTTTTTAAAAATCTTCTTCTCAAGAACCATTGGGCCAGAGAAGTTGAAACTTATGGGAAACCTTCATTACATAGTGTAGATTCAAGTTTGTTCAAATCATGACCCCCGGGGGTCGGGTGGGGCCACAATGGGGGATCAAAGTTTTACATAGGAATATACAGGAAAATTCTTTAAAAATCTTCTTCTCAAGAACAAGAAAGCCACAATTAGTCATATTGATATGAAATCATCCTCAGGTAGTGTAGATTTAAATTTGTTCAAATCATGACCCCCGGGGGTAGGGTGGGGCCACAATGGGGGATCAAAGTTTTACATAGGAATATATAGGAAAATTCTTTAAAAATCTTCTTCTCAAGAACAACAAAGCCACAATTAGTCATATTGATATGAAATCATCCTCAGGTAATGTAGATTCAAGTTTGTTCAAATCATGACCCCCGGGGGTAGGGTGGGGCCACAATGGGGGATCAAAGTTTTACATAGGAATATATAGGAAAATTCTTTAAAAATCTTCTTCTCAAGAACAGCAAAGCCATGATTTGTCATATTGATATGAAATCATCCTCAGGTAGTGTAGATTTAAGTTTGTTCAAATCATGACCCCCGGGGGTAGGGTGGGGCCACAATGGGGGATCAAAGTTTTACATAGGAATACATAGGAAAATTCTTTAAAAATCTTCTTCTCAAGAACAGCAAAGCCATGATTTGTCATATTGATATGAAATCATCCTCAGGTAGTGTAGATTTAAGTTTGTTCAAATCATGACCCCCGGGGGTAGGGTGGGGCCACAATAGGGGATCAAAGTTTTACATAGGAATATATAGGAAAATTCTTTAAAAATCTTTTTCTCAAGAACAACAAAGCCACAATTAGTCATTTTGATATGGAATCATCCTCAGGTAATGTAGATTCAAGTTTGTTCAAATCATGACCCCCGGGGGTAGGGTGGGGCCACAATAGGGGATCAAAGTTTTACATAGGAATATATAGGAAAATTCTTTAAAAATCTTTTTCTCAAGAACAACAAAGCCACAATTAGTCATTTTGATATGAAATCATCCTCAGGTAATGTAGATTCAAGTTTGTTCAAATCATGACCCCCGGGGGTAGGGTGGGGCCACAATAGGGGATCAAAGTTTTACATAGGAATATATAGGAAAATTCTTTAAAAATTTTCTTCTCAAGAACAACAAAGCCACAATTAGTCATATTGATATGGAATCATCCTTAGGTAGTGTAGATTCAAATTTGTCAAAATCAAGACCCCCGGGGGTAGGGTGGGTCCACAATAGGGGATCAAAGTTTTACATAGGAATAAATAGGAAAAATCTTTTAAAATCTTTTCAAGAACAGGAAAGCCGTGATTAGTCATTTTGATATTGAAGCATCCCCAAGTATTGTAGATTCAAGTTTGTTCAAGGCATCCTCCAGTAGTAGGGTGGGGCCATAATCGGGGATCAAAGTTTAACAAAAGAATATATATAAGAAATATCTTAAAAAATCTTCTTCTCAAGAACAACAAAGCCATAATTAGTCATATTGATATGGAAGCATCCTTAGGTAGTGTATATTCAAGTTTGTTCAAATCTTGAACCCCCCCTCCCTTCCTTCCCCCCAGGGTAGGATGGCAGACATCTTTAAAATTCCGTTTCAAGAACAGCAAAACCATGATTAGTTATATGAATATAGAAGCATCCTCAGAAAGTTTAGATTTAATTTCATTCAAAACATGGCAAATGGGGATAGGTTATGCCTAGAACAGTTGATCAAAGCTTTCCGTATGAATATATAGAAGAAGAAATCTGCTGACAAAGAACAGCAGGGCCATATTGACTCAGGTGAGCGTTGTGGCCCATGGGCCTCTTGTTTAATATGTATAGATTTCAAAAGTAGTAGTGAATTACTTGCATCACATTAATTGCTCAGTACATGCAGTCCTCATTTTGGAAAATCTAGAATCAGACCCAAAATTGTTTCCATTTGTGAACCCTTCTCCTCATTTGCATGTGATTAATTTTTGAAATTGTACATGATTTTAATCCATTTCCAAAATATATAAAAAAAATTATCCATACTTATTTCCAAATTCTTGATGAATTAAAAATAGTTTTGATTTTACTAAATTTTAGTGTTTAGAATTCAGTTAAATATTCAAGTACATGTAAATGATAAAAAAAAATGAAATTGCAGGGTCCAGAAGGAGATCCAGATGGTGGGGGTCAAGGTTGTCCTGGACCCAGAGGTCAACCTGGTGACCCTGGCCCACAAGGTCTTCCAGGATTCCCAGGTAAGTGTTAGGAATTCAATTAATAATTACTTAGTATAAGTAGATGTGAGAATTAATATTTAGAAATGCTGTCAGATGATTGATCTTATAATTTGTATACTGCACAGGAAATGACGCTCCAGATGGTCAAATGGGACATGATGGTCCCCCTGGCCTAACGGGGCCTGATGAGATACCTGGGAGGAGAGGACCTGTTGGATTCTCCTATCCAGGAGACAAGGGAGACCAAGGTATTTTTTTAGGATTATTATGTTGATTTGCACAAAGTACAAAAATTAAGGTTTTTTTATTTCTTATTTTCTTTGAATAATCATAGCATTGTGCACTTGTTTGCATTTTCTCAAACCCTGGTTTACATTTTCTGAGCTCAAGCAATGATTACTTATTTTATTCCAGGTGGCTTTGGTCTTCATGGAGTGCCTGGATTGCCTGGAATACCCTGGTGAACAGGGCCGAATAGGAAGACCTGGTCTTGATGGACTTCCTGGTCCTAGGGGAGAACCTGGTCCTGAGGGATTTCCTGGTATCCCTGGAGGTGGTTTGGATGTTACTGGTCCAAGAGGTCCTTCAGGATTTCCTGGAGAGGAGGGAGATCCAGAAATCCCTGGTTCTTATCCTCTGATCATTCATTGACTAGTAGGCTTGTGTAAAATCAGAGCAGATCTAAACCAAATGATAGCATTGTCATGTTTGTGGATATATTAGGACACTAAAAAGGATTGACTTAATGTTAAAAAGCTGTGTCACTGGGGTGTATGTAGCTGCAATAATGTAGCCCTCTCCGATTTTTTTTTTTTGGGGGGGGGGGGCTACAACTCCTTAGGATCTCCATAATGGTGCAAGTGCGGGAGTGATTCACTACCGCACAGATTTCGGCTGAAATTATCAGTAAGTGGGTATTTTATTAAAATATCTAGCCTGAACTCATCAATCCACATATTGGTTATTTTTCATGTATGTCAACATCACAACTTGAATTTATCTGCCATGTTTACTGACTTTGATCAATTTTATTTTGGGACAACCAATGAGAATTCGGGATCTACAGGAGTGGATTGCTTAGGATTTCCCTTAATTTAAGCATAAATATCAACTGTTTATGAAAAAATATTCCATGGAATGCTTTTATTTATCAATGTTTAGTGATATTATACAACACAAACATTTATCAACACCGACATTTACTTTATCAAGTGATTCTAAATTTCAAGCGCAAGTCTCAGTACATCACGCGAGAACTGTCATGGCTGATGAGGAGAACGAGTGTTGGACTGGTTAACATGTAGATTTATTTTACTCGGTTTTCGCGTATAAAGGGTTATGATGTTGATAGTGAATAAAAATTCCGTCTTATTGGAAGTAAGTTGAATGCAAAAACAATTTATTTTGCCTGCAGTCACCCGTATCTAAAAAAATATACTTGCACCATTACGGAAATGCAGTGGAATTGTAGCCCTCTCCTGAAAATATCAGATTAAAAAAAATCGGAGAGGTCTACATTATTGCAGCTAGGGTGTATATCGATAATAGGCATCGTGGGGATCATAAACCTTTTATTCAATTACAATTGCACCTATCAAGGTTTTCCCTTTTCACCATGAATTAACTAGATTTGTAGTAAAGCCAGTAAGTCTTTTTTTCTTCATGCAATTTTTTCCCTATCCGTTCAATTTCAGGTAGAAGAGGTGAGGACTGTGGGGTTTGTCCTTGGGGTGAGCCTGGTTTTAGTAGAGATCCAGGTGATCCTGGTTTTGATGGACAACCAGGTCAACCAAGTTTCCCAGGACAACCAGGAGAACAGGGCATACCTGGAATACCTGGTCAAAAGGGCATACCGGTAAGTGAAACCAGATGAAAAACATTTCTATCCAATGTCTTAGATTTTAAAAGTATTACAAGCTTCAGTTACCTGTAGTTGCTAGGAATACTCTTCAACAAAATATATGTTGCTCAAATCTCAGTTGATAACTCTTTTGTTTTTAATAAACTTACACACACCCATAACTTGACAATTTGGATGCCATCTTTATATAAGAGGATAATTATACCCCCGCTCCGAAGGAGAGGGGGGTATACTGTTTTACCCTTGCGTGTCTGTCTGTCCGTCTGTGTGTCTGTCTGTAACAAAATTTTCGTCACTGTTTTCTCAGCAACTGCTCATCGCAGATGCTTGAAATTTTAGCACACACTTTGTTGAGGCATGCCATATGGTGGGAGTAATTTTTGTACGAATCAGATGTCAACTTCCTGTTTATCCATGCGTCTGTCCGTACAATACAGAACAAATTTTGGTCACAGTTTTCCCAGCAACTACTGATTGCAGATGCTTGAAATTTTAGCACACTCTTTGTTTAGGCATGCCATATGGTGGGATAAAGTTTTGTACAAATCCAATGTCAACTTCCTGTTTATCTGTGTGTGTGTGTCCGTATCATACAGAACAAATTTTGGTTGCAGTTTTCTCAGCAACTACTAATTGCAGATGCTTGAAATTTTAGCAAACTCTTTGTTTAGGCCTGCAATATGGTGGGATTCATTTTTGTACGAATCTGATGTCAACTTCTTGTTCAACCTTGTGTCTGTCCATAACTGAACTTGTGTACATTCACATCAAAGCTTGGGTATTACTAGTGAGCATTGGTTCACAGACTTCTTGTTTGTTCCCATTCACATTCAGCACTTTGAAAATGCTGTAAGCAAATTAATGACGATAAAATGCAGTCAATTCTTGAAATATTGCCATTTGATTCATGCCATCCTTGCAATAATGCCATGATTTTTCAGGAATGTTTTTCCTGCTTTATAAAATTTTCTTTATAATGCCAAATTCACATGGGTACAGCCTACTAATTAATTGTTTTCCCATAGGCGACAATGTTAACTTTTCTTCACATAGCAATGTCCCTAATTTTCGTTCAGCAGTGAGTGACCCCTCAAATCAAAGCACATCAAGTTGTCTTTCCTTGGTTAAAATCTCCAGGTACCATGTCAGATTTGTTTTCCGGCAAAATGCATCTGTCTGCATTAACCTCTGAAAATGAAAGTGAAAGTAAGAGAATTCAAGACTTCTCACTGGTGTTATACATGTAATACATAAAATAATTCTGCTGATCTTCTTGATAAATATCACATCTGCCAAGTATGAGGCTCAGTTTAATACATTATCACAGTTTTTAGCTCACCTCATCGAAGTTGGGGGAGCTTATGTAATACCCTCGGCATCGGTGTCGGCGTCCCAGGTTAAGGTTTTTGGAGCAGTTATTTTCTTTTCAAGTACTTCTATGGCCTATATTAGTCAGAGAAGTTTTTGGAGCAGATGTCATTTCCAAGTATTTATAAACCCTATATTGACCAAACTTGCATGGATGATACATCTAAGGATGCACACTACTGGACTTGCTTCGGATGCTGGATCTGAACTATATTTTCCGGATGAGTGACCAGGTTAAAGTTTTTGGAGCAGATGTCATTTCCAAGTAACTTTAAATCCTATATTGACCAAACTTGCATGGATGATACATCTAAGGATGCACACTACGGGACTTGCTTCGGATGCTGGATCTGGCCTATATTTTCCGGATGAGTAACCAGGTTAAAGTTTTTGGAGCAGATGTCATTTCCAAGTATCTATAAACCCTATATTGACCAAACTTGCATGGATGATACATCTAAGGATGCACACTACTGGACTTGCTTCAGATGCTGGATCTGACCTATATTTTCCGGATGAGTAACCAGGTCAAAGTTTTTGGAGCAGATCTCATTTCCAAGTAACTATAAGCCCTATATTGACTAAACTTGCATAGATGATACATCTAAGGATGCACACTACTGGACTTGCTTCGGATGCTGGATCTGACCTACATTTTCCGGATGAGTAACCAGGTTAAAGTTTTTGGAGCAGATCTCATTTCCAAGTAACTATAAGGCCTATCTAAACCAAACTTGCATGGATGATGCATCAAGGGATGAACAATCTCAAACTTGCCTTGGATGCTGGATTTGACTCACATTTTCTGGATGAGTGACTAGTTTTAAGTTTTCAGATAAGTCTATTCGCAAGTAACTACAAGCTCTATCAGACCAAAATTGCATAAATATTGCATCTAGGGATGCTCACTCCTAGATTATTAGTTTAGTGTGGGACTTTGCCTTACTTAAAGACAACATTCGTTGAGGTGAGCTCTGTAATCTCTGATTACCTATGTTTTTAATTCAGGTCTGCAAATTAAGGAACTTGTATTTTTTTCTGCACTACTTTCTTCCCCTACTGATTCTAAAAATAATTAGAGGTATGTACCCACATACCACCATCTGCCACCCTGTTTTCACAATAA